TGATTTTAATAAGTCTGTTGCATCAAAAACGCAACTTATGTACTTTGTATGGAAATTAGATAATCGATATCGATAACTACAAATTAGTCGAAAAATTATAAAATTTCTTCTCACCCCTCATTTTATAATACAATGATACAAAAACAAGAATGAACCCATTAAAGATGTGAATACAAAAACAAGAATAAACCTGTTAAAGATGTGAATATATTTACCAAAAGCATATCGTTATTACGAAATTTGCTTAACGGCTTTGTTTTTTCTCTTTATGGAATATTTTAAATGCCAGCAACCTTTGTCTTATTCTTTTCTTAACTATTTGAGATACAATATAAATGACTACCAGCAATAGAATAAAAGGACAGCAATGTTCACTAGATATTGCAACAGTTTAAAACTGTGTTCAGAAGATCCAGACATTGCCGATGAACTAAAACAACGTTGGAAAGAGCTTATTAATAGCCAAGTATGTTTTTTTTTTACTTTATATAAATAGTTGTTGCTTTCTTGAAAGGCTATTCTTGAGACTATAGAGGGTTCTTTCTTTGCTATTGTTTCATTGAACCTATATCTTAGTTAAGCTTCATAATAGAAAACTTTAATATACCATAAATGAGTTTAAATTTTTTGTCAGGATATAGAATGACCTGTTATAATTTAATGAGAGGATTCTTGCTTTGCTATTGTCTCATTTATCGAGGTCTTAGCACAGCCTAAGTCTTCCGACAATTCTATCTAAAATATACTGTAGTTGGGAGAATTCTTGCTTTGCTATTGTCTCCTTGAACCTATTTTTGGGTATCACTGAGATTTTAGTGCAGCCTAAGAAGCTCCTGATTCACAACTTTTTAATGACAGGAAGAAAAGACTCCGAAGTTGTCAAGAGCCTATGGGCAGGCATATTTTCTAATGCGGGAGGACTTGATTTTTATAATTTGATGAAAAAGATAGATAATGAACTAGAAATCAATCGGATAAATTTACAAGACTGTAATTTTTTACTAATAAGATATATTGATTTTGATAATAAATCTGGGTCATATAACAAATAATTAACTATACAAACATAATTAGTATCTTCCTCTTCAAATTCAGCCTCAAGTTCAGCTTCAATTTCTTCACGTAAACGAAAAGCACTCGAAGATAATAATGAAATAAAAGGAATTTTCCTTGACCGATATAAAAGTTTATTGGTATAATAGTATTTCATGGCATAGAATTCTGTTGTGTTTTTAAATTATTATCACCATATTTACGATCTTTGTAGAATACAAACAAAGACCTCTGGATTTTAGGAGATCAAACATGAGTGATAAAAAGGATAATCGAATTCTTCAAAAATAATATAGATTATGCAGATAAATTAGCATTTAATCACCCTCTTCTCTCTGGTGTCATTGATCTAGACATAATAGATGAAGTAATGTTGAAGATATTCTCATTCGATGAATTAAAAGAGATGATGTGTTGTGATAAGATTTTTTCTTGGAAAGTGATAGATGAGAACATGAAGAAATGGGTAGATGACCTTGTGAAGACAGAGAAACCACAGAACATTCCAATTCCAAATTCTCTAGATAATAAAGAATGCACTTATGTTCTGGATATGTATTTACAATTGTAAGCATATATAATGTTTTTTCTTTCATATGCTATTTAATAAAGAAATATTGTACATACTAAACATTTATTAATAGAAAAAAGACTTGGAAATCTAAATTATTCGATAATAGACAACAAGAGGATGGTGAAATATTAGAGGATACATATGTGCATGAGATTATGCATAATATTATGTATTACACAGTTCGTGATCTTCTCCCTCGTTGGTTAGAATTGCATGGTATGTAGCTTTTTCCGGATTGGCTTAAAAAATTCACCTATAAATATAGTTTCCCATTTCTGTATTATTAGGTGAACTAGAACACCAGAAGAAAGAAATAGGCGAGTAGAACGAAATTATGATGAAATGTTTTTTAAAATGTCAAAGAATACGAAAAAAGTGTATCAAGATAAATTTCAGTCCAGAAATAAACCTGACTGGCTGGGTACATTTAAAATAGACGATCATAAATATGAATTTATATATGGCGAAGCAGCTAGACCTCCTTTTTTATCTGCTAGTTTTAAATTGGAAGGTGATCAAAGGAAAGTTATTTGCTTCCTCCTTCATTGTATCGAATCTATGGGCAAAACTTTAAAGAAGCACTTTTCATCAGCTATAGATGGTGACTTGATTGAATCTGCTAAATGTATTCCTCGATTTGAAATGCTTCTATATGGTATGGTATAGTTCAATTGTTTAAATGTTTAGGAAACTTTTTAATTAAATTTATTTCTTTTAAATTAGGAACTTTTTTAAAAATTATCTATTATGATAACTCATATGAAATTGGTCGGATTATGCCTCTTATTAATATTAAGCTATCATTGCAATCAAACTCTGATCAATTTTCAACCACGAATTATCTTTATGGATTAATTATCTTTCGGCAAGCTATTCAAGAAACTTTAGAAGGTTTCAGTGA